CCCACCACCACTGCATCTCCCTAAGCGGTGCAGCCCCGCCAGGGTCGCGGAGGACAGGACGAGCGGCAACGACACACCGACACGACTCTCCCCCCGCGACCCTCCTCCCAACGCGCATCCGCGCGGTCCCGCTGCCCAGACGAGGCCCGCTCGAAACGCCCTCCTCCTCGGGCCAGCCTACCACCATCGGCCGGCCCCGTGGGTTCCTCTTAGCTTCACCGTGGGATGAAATCGACCTCGGCTACTAGAGCCCCCCCGCCACGATAAGGCGGGAACCCCTTCGGAGGAACTATGTGAGCTGAGCTAACTTAGCTTAGCTTCGCTCGCGGTGTGGCCTGCGTTTTAGAATGATAACAAATACCATATTCAATTTAAATAATTTAATAAAACTGTGGTCTATGTAAATAGCAGAAAGAATGGATTTGGCCTTTAGAACAAACCCATGACAATGAATGACTTAAATCTTTTCCAAACCAATATGATGCTCATAATTACGTACAACTAGATGGCGTCAGTAATCGATTACATCCAACAATGCTACATATAAAACATAGATGGCGTTGACACAAAATGATTTCGTAATCATTATTTTAAAGTTGGCCAACCCTATGTTTGCAAAGTCATCAAACGAAGTATTTGAGAAATATATGAACCAAAAGACTTTATTAGAGCGGCGCACTTCCTAATGAAGAGTTATATTTATTAAAAATTAAATAACTCGTACTCTAATTTAATGTAAATGAAAACTTCAAGACATATAACGAGGCTGAATAGTAATATTTTTCATTGCTTTATCAAATAAAAAGAAATCATAATGTTGTCATTACAACTCAATTACCCAAGAAGGAAGGATAATGTGTGTCAGTTGATTTTGTTAAAATGTGTGTACATTAAAAGCACGGTAGAAAATAAAAACAATGGAAGCGCATTAAGCCTCGATTCTATCAGAACCGCTGTCGCCAAAACCAACACAATCATTATGTTAAACACTTTGAAATCTTTATAATGATCGGTCGTACTTACTAATTTAAAAAGATGTAACAAAATCTGGACAATTAACATAATTTAAACTTTACCTTGTTGGCATATCGTTGAAAGTTCAATACTTATTAAACTTTTGAACCGTTATTTGAAGCTTCAATATTTGAGAGTAGAGAAATTGATTTCCGGTAGTGTGTCAGTTTTAGTTCGAATTCCTCTTCTACATCCCCCACCATCTAATTTAGGGATGTAAAGTGACTTAAATGTGCGAATAAACGTTTTTCTTTCTTTCTTTCTTTCTTTCATCTAGCTTCTGCTACTGTACACCAGGTGAGCGCGCCACTCACAACGGGATTGTGTTTTCGCGCACTGGCTCATTGGCGATTGGTTTTCCATAGTAGTCAGTTGTGTCCATAGTTATACGTTATACAATTATATTTCAATTCTTAACGGTTTTATCGTTCGTTAATTTGTGAAATTATGAATGGTACCAGTGAAGTCAATTTATCGGATTCGTCCGATTCTTGCTCGTCGAGCTCGGATTTTCAGCAATCTAGAACAGTAGAGACCAACGCCGAAGTTCACGAAGTGCCACCCCGTCTGCCTCCGCCGGAGATAAATAAGCAACGATAAAGAAATCGTTCGCACTCAAAGGAACGTAAACGCCGTCGCTACCAAATGGAGGATACATGGATAAATGGATTCGGCTATTTGACGGAACAAGTAAGTGGTATACAAAATTATATTGCTACTAGTAATGGTGCATTCCAACCTACATGTCATTCAAGCGTTTATGAGCCCGATCCAAATGAAAATGTAGACTTTGCACCCGATATCAGTGCAGATGTCAGTGGTGGACTGTACAACAGTGAAAATTGTGTACAAGTCTCCGAATTGCCTGGTAGTTCAAAATTTTCCTTAAACACTTTTTTGAAAGAACCTTCTATTCAAAAATCTTCACAGATCCATATAGATTTGTTAAATTCCATACAACATTTTAATACTCAAGATTTGAATAATGTACGATATGCTGAAGTACAGAAACCATACTGTTCCTCTCCGGGTTTTACTTATTTTGAAACCAACGATGAAATTAGATCTTACGATAAAAACAATTCTCTCGCACTTATTGAGTGTGCCTTCGCTGCTATTACGCAAGCCCTCATAAAGCAGAACGCAACCGCACAAGAATCTTTTAGAAGTTTAATGGATTGGGCCACTTCCGCGTATAAAGTTTCTGCCAAGTCTTTACACGAAAAAATAATGAATTATTTGTGAAAGGGCAGTTTAAAAAAATCAGTAGTGATGTTTTGCAGTTAGCGTGTGGTCATAGGGCCGAATTAGTGCAACAAAGACGTGATAACATTTGGGCTCTGTAAAAGATACCTTTTAAATGGCGAGTTTGCTTAAAATCCCGCCAACTAGCAAGAATTTATTTCATAAACAATCTTTTTTTACCGGCTATTGAAAAAGCTGGTGGTGTATCGAAAACATTTTGGCCGCTCCGAGCGCCTTCACAAAATAAAGCTGCTACGCAAGCTCAGCCCCAACAGCAGGCTCAGGCCATGCCTAGTCATCCTTTGAATTATACACTAAAATGCCCAGTAATTTGAATTATACTACCTATCCTAACATGGATTTGTTCAACAGGCTCCTTACAAGGCGCTTGGAATTCTTTTAATAAGAGCGCGCCTGCCCTCGCCCCATTTTTAGACCATTTAATCAGCAAGTGAGACCTTGTCAGAGGCCCGCACAAACGTTTCAAAGCCATGACATATATTCGAGCGCAGGCAGAGGTCGAGGAAAGGTATTTGATCAGTCAAATGTTCGTAGTCATTCAAAAAGAAAATATTGACTATGTCCAATTTCGAGTGGGCCGGTTACCAGATTTTTTAGGTCATTGGCAGTCATTGCAAGCACCTCCAACGGTAATGAAAATTGTACAGAACTTTCGCATACCACTTATAGCTAAGCCCCCATTAGCGGTACCAGACCTATTCAATCATCTATCGCAAACACCAGTGTCGCAAGACATGGACAAAATTATAAATCAATTAGTGAAACTGGAAGTTTTAGAACCTGCAGTCCCCAGTCCCAGTTTCGTTTCAAAAATGTTTCTAACACCGAAAAGCGACGGCTCAATGCGTCCAATATTCAATTTACAAAGATTAAACAATTAGGTATTTGTGGAGAAATTTAAGCTCATAAATGTGCACAGAGTCGTAACCTTCTTGCAACCACGAGATTGGTTGGTAAAATAGATTTGTCCAATGCTTATTTCTATCTGCCGGTTTCGAAAACGCATCGGCGCTTCTTAAGAATAATTTACAAACATCAACTTTGGCAAATAACGTGCCTACCTTTTGGCCTAGCATGTGCTCCAAAAATTTTTGCGACCTTGACAAATTGGGTAGCACAGGTTCTACGCCAGAAAGGTTTTCGTATAATTGTATACCTCGACGATTATTTACTGGCATATCAAGACCCCCACCGCCTAGAATTTCAAGCTCATGAAACTATCCTTATTTTAGACCAGCTCGGTTGGAATGTTAACTACGAAAAGTCGGTGCTAATACCACAGATGACCGTACAGTACTTACATACATTGCATTACATAGTTTGAAATCCCCACTCCAATCAAAAAATTTTGCCAGTACAAAACGCAAGACACTGCGTGCAAAAATTTCCTCTCTACTGAGAACAAAAACGGCAAACTTAAAAGAAATTCAAAGCATTGTAGGGTCACTGAACTTTGCGAGTTTCCCGTATCCAGGGGCCGCTGAACCACCGAGCGCTTCTAAAACATTGCCAGGAACTACTTCTACAGAACATCCAGCACCGGTATCCGATTCCGGATGCTTTGAAAGAGTTGCAATTGTGGCAAGTAAATTTAGCCCAGTTCTCGCCCATTCACTACCCTCCCGTAACAGAATACCTAGTAACAGATGCATCTGCAGTACGGTGGGGAGCTTAGTTAAATAATCTGAGACTGTCTGGCCAGTGGTCCGTAAACGAGGCGAATTCACATTCCAACCAAAGTGAAATGAGAGCCATTTGGTACACATTGACCATTGTCAGCACCTGATAGGCACATCCCTATTTATTCTGAGCGACAATCGAGCGGTGGTTTCGTATTTGAGAAACGAGTGTGATACCAAGTCAAACCCCTTAATGGAAATGACTTACAAAATTTTCAATATCTTAGACCTTCACAACATCCATGTGGTGGCTCAGTACATTCCCGGCCAATGCAACGGAGAAGCCGATCAGTTATCCCGCTTGGCCTATCCTCACGAATGGCATCTACTTCCTTTGATAACGTCCACAATTTTCTCCAAGCGGGGTCGTCCAGTAATAGTTCGCGTCATCAATAGCCCATGTAGTCCCAGTATACAGCGCACTCGATGTGAGGGATCAAAAAGCTCACTTCCACGATGCGTTCAGCCAGAAGTGGCACTATCCTCTGGCGTGGGTGTTCCCGCCGCCATTTCTGATTCCACGCGTCCTTCAGCACCTCAACTTGGCAACTGGAATATACTTGATAGTAGTCCCCAGGTAGACAAAAGAGTTTTGGAGGCCAGACTTAAAGAACCGTGAGCTGAGTCCTTCATTCACAATTTGGAACTTGAAACAAGTCCTAGTGAACGCAACAACGAGTCGACCTCCTCCACTAGTTTCGGAAATGACCCTGAAAGTATGGAGATGTGGGGGTGAACCAAAAGTCTTGTAGGTTGATCTCAGGAACAGAAGGAATTTTTGCAAAATAGTTGGCGCGAGACTTCAATGAGAACGTACAAACCAGCCTGGCAAAAATGGTGCGTATGGGCCACCAGTAATTCTGTAAGTGCCTCAAATCCTAGCGGAGCGGATTTAGCTAGGTTTCTTATAGATCTACATCAGACACAAGGTTTGGCCTGCAAAACCATATTAGTTTACAAATCTGCTATTTCTATGTTTTGTGACTCAGACACTGAATCACGTTTAAGTTCACATTTATTAATTAGACAAGCCTTAAACGCCGTAAGTAATAACCGTAATTCTATTTGTTCTAAAATTAAATCTCCAATATGGGATCCTGATGTACTTACTCATTGGTTACAAAATAATATACCGGATACGCGTAGTTTATTCGAGTGTTGTACACGCGTCGCAGTATTGTTGTTGTTATGTTCTAGACGCCGAGTACATGATCTGACTTTGCTAAATGTTTGCAACGAAGATTGTATATTTTCAGACGAATCTGTGGTTTTGGTAGAAGGGAAATTCGAGCTAAAACTGACACATTACCGGAAATCAAGTTCGCTACTCTCAAAATTTTTAGGCTTCAAATAAGGTTATTGCTTAATAAACGTTTTAATGTTAGGTAAAACGCTGCTATTAATGCAAGTTACATTTTGATTTTATACTGAAATTTCAATCAATGTGCTGACACCTAGCGATCAATTGCTGAATGGTAATGAATTCGAGATGTTCACTTAGTTCTCTAAAAAAGAAGCGATCGTATTACAGTGGTATAAGCTTAGAATAATTACACATAGAATGATAGTTTCATATCAAACGAACTGTCACATTGAGGCAAAAATCAAATTCATGTAGGCTAGTTTTAGTAGTAGGTTAATTTTCGGTTTTAGTGAATATTTATATAAAAATACAAGTTGAGACGCGTTACTTCCTTGTGGAATGTGATGTTAGTATCTATTTTATGTTTGTCTGACGTATTTTTACACTCATTTACCGCACATTTCGTCATTTTTAGCTAAAATTCTTCACTGAAGGCCCGCCCGCTCGTGTAGGCCCATTGGGAGCGCTTCAATTTGCCTTACTTAGCGTGTGCGGACTAGGTTTCTATGCGTTATTATTCTAAGGGTATAAGCTTTTCTTTCGTTTCTTATACAAAAAAAATATTTACTTGTTAAAATTAAACTAAATAAGAATTAACGATGATATGTAACACCACCATAGATAATGATATGACAAATGCGAATATCGTTCTTGCACTCCTAAGTAGCAAATTATGGCATTTCTCTACTAGAAAGAGCGAGATAATTGATACGACCATTAAAACCATTAATTTAAAAGGAAATAATTTTAATAATTTTAATTTAATTTATAGGGTAAAATAATTTGGCAAACTGGCAACATTTTCCTTCAGTCGTCGGGATAAACGCAAGATGGCCGCCAATTTATGTGAACGCAAGGACAAGTTGAAAAGTGATATCCGTTACTTGTAGTGATATTTCGTTCATATTTGTGATAATAACTTTATAAATATTACCCCATACCCGGGTATGTGCTTTACTAATGTTTTCGTGCAATTTGTTATGAGTTATCGATGGTTATAAAATCTTATGTGCAATACTTCGTTGGATGGAATAAAAAATGTTCTGTGTTGAGTAGTGAATATTTATGCAGTGATAGTCGTATCTGGATCGCAGTTATGCTTGTTGGATGATACTGGTGAATACCGGTAAGTGGAGATGCTAATATTTAGTTTTTAAGTTGTGTGTTTCGAAATGTTTCAAGTTTCGTCAACGGTGTAACCTATTTGACTATATCGGGGCTTTAATCTTAGCGTGGCTGTTTGTGGGCGCCGGGTCGCCGGCTCAGCGGCCCCTGCGGCAGCTGTGCAGGTCACACGGTGTTATCGATAATTTTTTTCCTCAGCACACGTAAAAATCTAGTTTAACTCAAGTTTTCAATACACAGACCGTCTTTACTATACTTCATCGTTCAGAAAACTTTCGTTAAGAGCGATGGAACATCGCTGTACTCCAATCCACATGAAATCAAAGCACTTTTGTTAGTTTCCATCTTTATTGAAGTGTTATCATGTAACTATCGCATAAAAATACGAAAAACAAGTTGAAAATAATTACGCAGCTTGTTTTTCAGTGCCTAACTCTATGAATATTCACGTAATAGGTAGTTGTAAAACATGTTATCAGAATGGAGGAACACTAATTTGGTCAGCCTTTACATACTGGTGTTAAACAGTGAAACAGTATTTCTATTGGTAATATTGCAAATTTTTATGTTAGTTCACATTTTGTGCCTAAAAACAGTTTAACCAACTATTAGTTATGATTTATGTTTGACAGTGCTTTTATTGCAACTTTTCTCAAGCTATAAGTACGGAGTAACATGATGGATTAAGCATAAACCCTCTCTTTGGAGCAAACCTGTGTTACAGGATGTAATAATAATATTTGTTTTTTTCTCCCACAATAAATGGCTACAATCTTATAGAACAGAGCCTAAACATTTTCATTTTAATACATATTTGTCAAAGACTGGAGTCTCTTTTAAGACTGCTTTGTGATCCATCAAGGTAGAGCTGTTAATATATTAAGTAAATTTTATCCTACAAAGTCTTAATGATGGTTCATTATCAGTGATCGGAATTGAGGGAGTTTTTATATCGAAACTTTGAGCAACGTTAAGAATAATGTGGACATTCCCTTTTACAAATCCCGGTACTAACCGGAATAGATTTTTTGTTTTAAATTATTTTTAATGATTGCTGCGGAAAGATTAGACTTAAATAAACACTTTTTGTTCTTATTAATTTTTCTCAGCAAGCGATAGTTTTCGAGTAAATGAAGGAGAAAAAATTTATTTACCAAGACTACTGGAGTTAAAAAATTCCGATAGATTTTTTTTTTGTTTTAAGTTGTCTAATGATTGTTTTGGATAGATAAGACATAAATAAATACTTTTTGTTCTTATAATTTTTACTCCGCAGGTTATAGTTTTTGAGTAAATTAAGAAGAAAAAATTAATTTACCAAGGTTAGGACTTAGCGAGCGGCTGGTGAGTGCCTAAAACGAATTTAATAATTTCAGAGCCAGTCCAGTAAAAAAAGTAAAGACGTTTAAATACTTTCTTGAAATAGTTATTTATCTGCATAAAAAAAAATATATTCAACACAAGCGTGGCTATTTTGCATGGTTTAACTGTCACTGGGTTAGCGGAGTAGCAAATTAATTAACTTACATTTTCATCAACATGGACTTCTGCAAAGTAACGCCTGAATCTATTAATTATCTACAAATAATTTATAGATTCAGGCGTTACTTTGCTGGAAATTCATTTTTATTAGTATCTTTAGTTTCGTCTATAAAAAGTTGGACTTGGGAATAATTAATACAAAATAAAATAATAAAATTATATATATTTAAAATATATTTTACTCATGTCTCATTTATAAAAATAAAATATAGCTTAACAAAAAATCGAAATCAACTGTAATAAAAGTCAGGAACATATTTAAAGAGGATATCGACACCCTAGGCGCAAACCACACAAACTGGACAAAACACACATGACGGCAATAGAGCACGTGCGCTGAAATGGCGGATCACTCCTCACGCATTTTTAATTTGCTCCTTATTTCGATAAGCATGAAATTTGAATCGATCGAGAAGACGCACGCGCCATGCCAGCGTTAGAAGCCAGTTCTGTATGGCTTGCGCTAGGGGTAAATGCTTCAAAGAGGAAAAATTATCATTCTTCCTGTACTAGATCTGTTTCCCTTTCTTGTAAAGAATTGAAATAGATAATCATTATTTTTTCTATATTTTCTTCTTTAAGTCTATTTCTTTTTACATTTAATATCCACTTGAAGGTTGAGAAAGATCTCTCAACGTCCACAGACGTAAGAGGCGCAAATTTGAAAAAATTTTCGTAATCTGTTTCATTTCCCTTCACAATTTTTTCACCTATTTCTCTAATTACATCATAATCGGGATTTCGATCTAGTACTTTTTCTATCTTACTATTTATTAATTCGTTTGAGGTCCAACTTAAACAAGACCTGACTTTATCAAAAATTAAAAATGAATCAATTATTGATATTTTTTTTGTTTGTATTTCAGTAAGTGCTTCGTCTATTATTGTGAAATATTCATTAATAAAATTAAGCTCTGATACGATATTTTCATTTCGTATGACTCTTTTTGCTTTTTTAATTGATATAGACTCATTGCTGTTAAGACTGTTTAAAACATTCGATATTTCTCTAAAATGTGTAGCATAGTATGTTGCTGCCTTTAGCCACGTGCCCCACCTTGTAATTACAGGTTGTGGAGGCAGCGGCAAGTTTGGATACATGTTTTTTAAAATTCTGACCCGATTTGGGGATTTCAGAAATATCTTTTTGACATTGGATATTAAGGAATCAACATTCTCGTATTGTGAACGAATTTGTTCTGCCAATCGGTTAAGAGCATGAGCTAAACACGTTATATGAATAATGTTAGGAAAATCAATTTTTAATAGGCGTCCAGTTCGCAACATATATGCCACACTATCTGTGCATAACATTAACACATTACTTGTTTTCTCTTCAAATGATTCTCCCCACATATTTCTTAAAGATTCTATTACAAAATCGGACATAGTTATACTGTTCACTGTTTCTAGCATTTTACAAGCTATTAAATATGGTCTGGTAGCCACATTTTGTATAAGTGGCATCACCAATAAATTTACAACGTATCTTCCCAAAAAATCCGTGGATTCGTCAAGTGATAACCAAATCTTGTTGTTTCCGATTACATCGTAAGTAGCTTTTAATTGTGTTTGAAAAAATCTGTTAAAATATTGTTTCCGTAGCAATGATTCTGAAGGTACTGCCTTATTTGAGCAAGTACAACAACATTTTATACATATATACTTGTTGAAAAATTTTTGTAACGTTGGGTTACTCACTTGTGTCCAAGGTATGTTACATAATATTAAAAATTCTATTAAATCAAAATAAAACTCATCCGGGGTTCTTTTTCGTCGTCTTGTATGAAGTGCGTTTATGATGTGCCGATCTACGTTGCTTTTACGAGTAGCTTTTATGTGGGATTCACATATTGTACAAAATATGATACCACTTGCGGGATCGTAAACCAGTTCTGGGTAGTCGACAACCCAGCTATAAACCAGCTCTGATCTTGGTCTATTTTCCATAGTGATAATACCTAAAATAAAAAAAAGCTGCTAATGACCATGTCAAAACATTTTGAAACAGAGTTTTTAAAAGTACTTAATTATATAACTGCCTATTTCACAAAAATACATTTTAAACACATAGTTGGTAAATTAAGAGCCTGTTCTCTTAGGAGCGTTCGACGCGCGTTTTGCTAACGCGCGCTTAGAACTAGTCGAATTTTACTACTAAATAGCCGTATACATAGTTAAAAAGTACGTCTTAAGTTGCACTTTTAAGATCTTTTACGAAGTTCGTAACTTTATTAGATTCAGCGTGCCTAATTTTTTTTGTTTTTTTTTCTCTCTAAAGCCCGCCGTTTTTGGAAAAGATATTTATATTATTATTGAGGTCTCATATTTTTCATTTCATCATAAAAATACCACACGCAAATATCGTAAAACTCAGAAGTTATATTCAATTATAATTTTTTTCAGGGTAGTCACTTTTATGAAGGTACTTTTATATCTGGATGTTATGAAACGAGATAGATCTTTTAAAAATAAAATTAATAATTTTCTTCTTTAACATGTAGAATTACACATTCTTCATAATCATTTTTTTAAGTTAAATAGGTATTCTACTGTACGGTATAGGTATTACTGAGGTCTTTTCTCGGAAATCTGCTTTTTATTCCAAAAACCTATAGGTGTAACGATTAAAAATTGCAGTGTTATAGAAAAAATATATAATTTTGTAATTTGTGTAATTTTTTTCTGGATAAATTAAAAGAAAAAAATTATACTAAAATTAAAAACATTATAAGTAAATATTACATACGTAGTTTAAATGTATCTGTTTATTAGCACATTTTTACGAACCTCGGTAACTTTATTAGATTCAGGGTGAATTACTATTTTTAAATATTTATTTTAATTTTTTATCTCTAAAACTCTGCCGTATTTTCCCACTTTTTTTAAATAATTCTAATTAAAAAGATTGTCTAACTAAAAATTCAACAATAAATAATAAAAAATTCATTCTTACCTTGCAAGTGAAATAAATATGAAGTCCAAGTCGCAGGTAAAAGCTGGTTCAGGGATTCGTAGCGTAAAGTCGTCGTTTTAAGTAAAATCAAAATCCAGATCGCAATGCAAATCAAAAACCGTTGTGAGATAGCCAAGTTGTCAGAAAATACAGAAAAACTCAAAATAACACCCGAACGCATGACAAGCACAACATCGAATAAGAACAATTACAAAAATTGTACTTAATGGGGTTACATGTAACTGCACGCAAGCAGGTATGTTGTCTCGTTCGCTCTTTTTTCCAGTTATCACTCAGACAATGAGATTAGCTTTAGAAACTAACAAAAAAAGATTTTTGTCTCACCACGCGGCACCCTTTGTCGCTTTCTTATCATCGCACGTTCTGGCACCACGCCGACATGGTGGTAACGTGGTCTTTTTAGATGGATTTGAATGGAGAAATTATGCTAGGTTCAATATTATCAGGCGTTTTTACTTGAATGTCAACAACAGGGATAATAA